CAGGTTTACTCTGCTCACCTCTCTAGCCTCAACAGCACAAAATCTGCTTCGACTATCAAGGCACCCCAGAAATAGCAGTTCACAAGAGAGAGACAAACATACAAAAAAGGTAGAAGGAAAATGACGATAGTAAGGATTAGGAAAGAAAAAAGCACAAGTTCCTTGTTGCAGTTCAGGCACAGTTATGAGCATGGCATTGGTAAATAAGCCCATTTACAGTACTACTGTGACTAAGAACTTGTTAATATCCTCCGTGTGGGAGTCGTGGGGTACGGCAAACGTACACAGGCAACACACAATTTGTACAGACAATGTTTCACCTTGTGGATCATACAGCTGTTCTTCCTTTCTATTTTTATCTCATTCCCTCCATTTCCTGAACTCTTTGGGAACTGAACATTCTATTGTTTTCTGCCATCACGACTTTTTGTTCATCATCATCATCATCATCATCATCATCATCATCATCATCATCATCATCATCATCATCATCATCATCATCATCATCATCATCATCTGCCTTAGAGAATGGCTATCATGCTCACCATTTATTTCTCTGTAACTTTTCACCCCCTTCTCGAAAACGTGTTTTTCGCCAATTTGAATTCCTGAAAACAGACAGTTCATCGAAGCGGGAGGCCAACTCAGCTCTAGACGTGACTTCCACTTGGCTAACCAATGCATGCAGTCTGCAAGTTTGGAAATCCCCCCTCCCCCTCCCCCCCCCCCCCCCCCTCCCCCCCCCCCCGTTGTTATTGACACAGGAAACGGAAACCATGGTATTCTATTGTCAGTGGTTTTTACGTTTCCATCAACACAATTTAGACCAACAGGGAGGCACGCTGTTTCTGTCCTATCTTTGGCCATAACAGATACAACTGAATCAGATGACGCAAAGCCAGAAGAGGGGAATACATGGGTATATGGTTTCTTTTAAGGACAAACGGGTTACCTCAGATTTCGGGGGCTTCCAGAAACCTTGATCTGCACCAAGAGTGCACATTGCCCTACCTATAGGAGAAGTTTGGTTTCACTGGTGAGTATATTATTTTGTTTGGTTATAGAGAAAACTCTCCTTGTCTTTTAAAGAAACTGAACAAGGGTAAAAAACTTGACCGTCGATTTTCTCAAAACAGCAATTTTTGTGCATAGCCCCCTTGTGCTTAAAAGTGACGTCGAACATATACACTCATGTGACGTATTGTCAAGGGAGAGTAACTGTGAGTGGCTGTGATCGTTGTATCATGCGAGTTGTGTCTTTTGTATCTGTGTGTGTGTCACGTGATCATTGTAGTTGTGTACTTTATATCTGTGTGTGTGTCACGTGATCATTGTAGTTGTGTCTTTTATATCTGTTTGTGTCACGTGATCATTGTAGTTGTGTCTTTTATATCTGTTTGTGTCACGTTATCATTGTAGTTGTGTCCCTTGTGTCTGTGTGTGTGTGTCACGTGAAGGTTGTATTATGAGAGTTGTGTCCTTTATATCTGTGTGTGTCACGTGAAGGTTGTATTATGAGAGTTGTGTCCTTTATATCTGTGTGTGTCACGTGAAGGTTGTATTATGAGAGTTGTGTCCCTGATCGGTCCCCGTGGTTTTATGCACCCCGCATAATTTAGCAAAATTTGATCGTTTTTTGCATAATTTCTTATTATTTTCCTTAATCATTCTTTGTTAAAATTAACAAAATCGCATAATTTCACATTTTTTAGCTCATTTTGCATAATTTCAGAATTTTTCTTGCATAAAACGACGGGGACAGCCTCATATCTGTGTGTATCACGTGACCATTAAGATATTTTGTTACTCACGAATCACTCACGAATTAGTGCGGCTCAGAATAATCTCTCGAGCTGTTACGTTGAAGATACTAGATCTTTGACTCTTCTTTCAGAACAAAATCTCTTCGCGAAAAAAACCCAAACAGAGTGGCCAAAGATGGAAGGACTCCAGAAACAATGTCAAAAGTAATCGGTTCCAAGATCAGGACGGGGATGGACTGATGGTGGTTTATGTCCCTTTGTCTTCGGGTCCTCGCAGTACTTAAAAGCGATAATAAAAAAAAATATATTATTTTTAAAAATGAAAATTTAATATAAAATAAAACAAATATCAATCTTTATTAAAAAACACCCCGCCCCCCTCCGATCCCTTAGCAACCAAAAAAGGGTGGGGGTGGGGAGAAGAAAGAGACAAGAACAATTAATACATGTCCTTATATACTCACAACAACAACAACAACAACAACAACAACAACAACAACAACAACAACAACAACAACAACAAAACAACAACAAAAAACAAAACAAAAATCGAAAAGAAAGACAAATGCCAAAAAGCTACCTGTCGAGAAGACTGGTGGAGAGAGGTCTGTCCAGCACAGGGATGGCCAGGTTTGACCTCTGCACGTGCATTGACCTTTGCTCCCGGAAGTGAGCCAGGGCTTTCTCTTTCTTGCAGACGTAATGGCGGAAGGCGCCAAAAATGAAGATGTCCCAGAACCCCCTGCGGAGGAGAGAAATTGGCAGACAATGAGAGTCGATCGCAGGGGCGGGAACTCGTTCACGAATAATCACAGAATAATGAGAGAGAGAGAGAGAGAGAGAGAGAGAGAGAGAGAGAGAGAGAGAGAGAGAGAGAGAGAGAGAGAGAGAATGAGAGAGAGAGAGAGAGAGAGAGAGAGAGAGAGAGAGAGAGAGAGAGAGAGAGAGAAAAGGGGGGGGGGGGGGGATTGCCGGAGATGTCACAGGCTTTTCCAGTTAGCTGTTTCTGAAGTAGGAGTCGCTCAATGTGTCATAACAGGCTCTGAATTTGTGGGATATTGAATGGAGGGGTGTTGTAAAATGTGATGTTGTGGAAGCATTGTTTGATTTGGCATGGTTTTCTATAGCGAGATATAATGCTATGGTAATAATACGATACAGTATGGTAATTCCTATCGTGAGGTATGATATGGTAATGTTATGGTACAAAATTATGAATATTCCAATAGTGTAGAATCTCCCAACACTCGACGGTGTCGGCCCAACAACACGGGCGGAGATTTATCGCAGACCAACTTGAGAAAAGGGCACTGGATCACTCTGAACTCAGATCAACAAACAGGACTTTACACTCAGATCTACAAACAGGACTTTACACTCAGATCAACAAACACGACTCTGAACTCAGATCAACACACAGGACTTTGAACTCAGATGGACTGTACAGCAAATACAGCACTCTGGGATTAAACATTCGGAGATCATGAGATCCTCACTGCTCTAGAACAGTTACACACCCCACTGAAAACCTACCCCGGCAAAAACACACACAAAAAACGTAAACAAAAGCAAAAACAACAAAACAAACAAAAAAACAAAAGAAAAAGAAAAACGTACATGACGTCGGCCTGGGGATAAAACCGTCTAACCCACAAAATATCAAACAACTTTTTATTGGCCCCATCGATAGTAAATTGTCCATTTCATGTGCTCACTCAAAGACAGATCTGAATTTTGTCTAGAAATGTCTTTAAAACATTAGAAATAAAACCGTATAACCCGGCACCCATCGGATTTTAGCCCGATAATTCCGACTATCCCACCTGCGAGGGACGGAATGAGGGTTGGATGTTTTT